AGCGGAACAATTAAGGAACACTACTGAACACGCACGTAGACGTCATAAAGAGTTGTATCGCAGAGAAGAGCAAGATAGGAATACAGCCGAGCATTCTCAACAAAGACAGAATTCTACATATCGCAACCAAGAACAACTAAAGAACACTGTCGAACATGCTATTAGGCGCCATGATCCACTGTATCGTGATGAGGAGCAACAGCGGAATACAGAAGATCATGCTGAAAGGCGCTAGGATCCACTATATCACGCGGAGGAGCAATACTGGGATGCAAACACTCAGGACGGCAGGATCCACTTATCTATATCACTGTACGCGCGGAGAACAACAGAGGAATACAGAAGAGCATGCTCAAAGACGACAGGATCCGCTATATCACGCGGAAGAACAACAGAGGAATACAGAATAGCATGCTCAAAGACGCCAGGATCCACTTATCGCGCACAGGAACAGGATAGAAATACCAACGAACATGCTATTAGACGCCAGGATCCACAGTACCACGATGACAGAGCGTCTGCGAAATACGCTACAGCGACAACAAAGACGAAACATGCAGAGGAGTGAGCAAATGGATTTAAATCGATCAGTTAGGATAAGAGTGGAATCGCATAGACGTATCCCGAGTAATAGGATTAGAAACAACATGCTTCAGGCCGAACGAAGCAGAAGGCGTAGAAATAGCATTTCCTATGAAGAAAGGCAGGAGGAAACCGCACGACAAATTGCACGACGCAATCAATTGAAGTTTCAGCGATACAATGATGCCATCAAACAGGGACCAACGAGGATTTGTACATGTTGCGGCGGATTATGGTTTCCCCATCAAGTGGAATCCTTACACAAAGAAGGTATGTCAAATTTAAATTTTTCAGAAGAAGTTTTTTATCTATCGGAAAGATTTCCCTCGGTCGACGGTTTATATATTTTTTGTAAAACCTGCAGTCGAGCAATTAGGAATGGAAAAAAGCCGAATATATGTCTCTCAAACGGCTTAGATTTTCCAGATATCCCGAGTCCTCTAAAAGACTTAACGTCGGTAGAGGAACGATTGGTCACAGCACGATTGCCTTTCATGATAATCGTTGCTCTAGGTTTCGAAAGACAAAGTGCTATTCGCGGAGCAGTAGTCAACGTGCCGATATCTGTTAGTGAAACAGTAACGTCCCTTCCAAGAAACTTCGATCAAGCTCAGGTTATTCAATTGCACCTTAAACGTCGCATGGCATATCAGCATGATTATATGACTGAAACAATCAGACCAGCGAAGGTAATTGATGCAGCCAGGTATTTGATTAACACTGAGTTGTATATCAAACATGGTATTACAATTGACGAAAGTTGGTTTGAAGGTTGTAATTCTTCACTGGTCGTTCCGTTTGTGGCTAATCAGGAAGATCGGGAAGAAATTCAAAATATTTTCGAAAATCAGCTATCTACTGAAGCCACTGTCGATGATATTCAGCACGTCGAAGAATATGCAATGGAAAATCTCAATCCTGGTGGACAACAAACAATGTTGGAATGTAGAGCTGTTGAAAATGTACCTCACCAACGAGTTGTAATGGCTCCAGGCGAAGGTCGTCGTCCAATAGATATGATAATGGATACAGATTCTGAAGAGTTGGCCTTTGTTTCTATCTATTGCGGTAAAAAACGTTCCTGTACTGAAACCTATTCAAAAATTGTCCGCTCTGAACTCCGACGTTATGACAGACGATGCTGTAGAGTAGATAAAATACTTTACAGTTACAAAAAACTAGAACTTTTAACCATTAAAAGTGCAATGTCAATCGCTCTGAGAAAACATACACGATCTGGAAATGTTACAGCCAGAAATGCTTTAGACGAGTCATATATGAATAGTCTAATTCAACACGATGACGGCTATCGCATCCTCAAAGGAGTAAGAACGTCACCAGCTCACTGGGAAGGAGAAAAAAAGAAAGCCGTTGCCATGATCAGACAGTTCGGTCTTCCAACGTTTTTTATAACATTATCTGCAGCCGAAACAAAATGGGTAGAACTGTTAGTAATTCTGAGTAAAACTGTTGACAAAATTGACATATCCGAAGAAGATGCTTCAAATCTGTCATTCGCTGATAAAGCTCGATTGATCCGAAGTGACGCGATTACATGCTCCCGCTACTTTGATTTCCGTTTCAGGCAATTATTTTCTTTATTTAAAATGAATGGTGGAATTTTCGACAATCATTTTGTAGAGAAATACTATTGGAGAGTTGAATTTCAACAACGTGGTTCTCCGCACATTCATGGCATGTATTGGCTTAAGGATGCACCCAAAATAGATCTAAATAATTCTTCGTCTTTTTCGTCTGTAATTACTTTTATAGATAAATATATTTCCACAGACGGTTCTGATGGAAATTTACAGGAATTTATATCATATCAGCGCCACAACCACAATCGTTCCTGTATCAGAGAATTTCGTGGTGAAAAGATTTGCCGGTATGGTATGCCATATCCTCCAATGCCAAACACAGAGATTTTGCTCCCGCTTCCGGATAATTTTGAGAATTTTCTACAGCATAAAGATAACTACGATAAAATTCAAAGTTTATTAAATGCTAATTTGGACTCTCAACAAGTCTGCCAATTAAATAATTTTAATAATTTTCTGGCTCACGAAAATATAGATCTAACGTACGATAATTATTTATTAGCTCTTAGATCTTCGTTAAAAAAACCTAAAATTTTTCTAAAAAGAAGGTTCGAAGATAAAATGGTCAATGCATACAATCCAACAATATTGTCACTGCACAGAGCAAATATGGATATTCAATATATCCTAGATCCTTATGCGTGCTGTAGTTATATCATTAACTACATTAATAAATCAAATCGTGGTGTATCCAGAATACTTCGTGATGCTGTCGACGAGATAAGAGCTGGTAATTATTCTATAAAGCAAAAGTTACAGCACATTGCTCATAAGTTTATCTCGGGTACTGAAATATCAGCTCAAGAAGCCACTTATTGCTGTTTAGGAATGCGGCTTTCCGAAAGTAGTAACGCTGAGGTTTATATCAATACCGGGCGACCGGAGGAACGAGTATTTATTTTGAGACCTCGAGAACAGTTACTGAACTTACCTCCCGATTCCTCTGATATTTATGCTGTCGGTATTTTGGAACACTATATTCAAAGACCTGATGAACTAGAAGATTTATGTTTGGCAGACTTTGCAGCCAATTATAAATATTCCAGAACCCGCAGAAACAATGCCAGTACAGGGGACTACGAAGAGCATGACGACCACGAAGAAAATTCTGAGCAAACTTTACGCATTTTCCAATTGAAGGATAATAGTGGATTCATCCAAGAAAAAGTTAAGCCTCATGTTATTCGTTACAGACGATATAACGTTAACACTCACAAAAGTGACTATTTTAGAGAGCTCATGATGCTGTTCTATCCTTGGAGAAATGAAGATGTTGACTTACTTCAAAATGACAACGAAGCTTCCTGTAATGCTTTTAAAGAACGTATTGAGTTGAACAGAAAAAAATACGATGTATTTGAGGATCGAGAACTCGAAAATGTTCTTCAGCGTCTAAGAGATGAAGAGAGAATAGAAGATATTACCGAGGAAGAAGAAATACGAAATGTTGATGACGAATTCAGAGTTCTTGGGGTGCCAGACATAGATCCGAATGTAAACATATTACATACGCAGGGTGATGGCACATCGAATGAAAATTCTGAAGCGTCTATCCGGATAATTAAACTTCCTCCTTTAATGTCTGATTCCGATCTCCTGAATATGGTTCGAACCTTGAATACAAAGCAAAAGTTGTACTTAACACATCTTTCCCATAATATAAAATGTGGATCAACATTTTATGAATTTGTAGGTGGTGGTGCAGGTGTTGGGAAAAGTAGATTAATATCGGCTATCTATCAAACCGTTAACAGAAGGCTCAATACTATCCCAGGGTCCGACCCAACTTCAATAAAAGTGCTATTGACAGCTCCTACAGGTAAAGCTGCATTTGGCATTGGTGGTGCAACATTGCATTCAATGTTTTCCCTTCCCGTTAATCAGTCAAATTCAGAACTGAGGCCGTTAGGTCCTGATGCTTTAAATTCAATTTACACCAAACTTATGAATTTGAGGTTACTGATTATAGACGAAGTATCAATGGTAGGGGCAAAAATGTTTTCGTACTTAGATGCTCGATTAAAGCAAATATTCAAAAGTTCTGAATATTTTGGCGGTATATCGGTACTAGTATTTGGGGACTTAATGCAACTTTCGCCTGTTGGTGATCGGTGGATATTTGCAGCACCAACGACTGATCCATACGGTACAATATATGGAACCAGCACGTGGGACAAATTCAAGTATTTTGAACTCACAGAAATAATGCGTCAAAGAGAAGATCGATCGTTTGCTATTGCTCTTAATAATATGGCTTCTGGACAAATGACAAATGATGACGTTTCCCTTTTGCGACAGCGCATTGTATCACCGGCTGCTGTTCCTGATGAAGCCATTCATCTGTTTTGCTCCAATGATGAAGTCAACATATTCAATACTTTGAAGTTGAGCTCTATTCCTACAGAAGAGGTACTGTCAACTGCATGTGATTTTGTGAAATCCACGGGGTTAACAGACGAAAATAGGAACCGAATCATGGAATCTGTTAAAACATTTAAAGTCTCAGAAACTCAAGGTTTACCATATCAGTTGATATTAAAAACTACAGCCAAATATATGGTAACTGTTAATATTGACACCAGTGATGGTTTGGTGAATGGAGCTACTGGCCAACTAATGGAAATCGATTTCATCGGCACAACAAGAAAGCCTTCTACTCTTTGGATGAAATTTCCTCAGGAAAATACAGGAGTTTTAGCCCGTTCCAAAAAAAGACATCCGAGTGAATCATTATGGACACCAATTGATGTTTGTGTAAAAACGTTTCAATTCAAACGTAATGAACACGTAAATATTGATCGTAAGCAGTTTCCTCTTGTACCGGCAGAGGGCATAACTATTCATAAAAGCCAAGGAGCTACGTATGAAAAAGTTGCAGTCCATTTGAAGTCTCGCATGAGTAGATCAGCACTATATGTTGCTTGTAGTAGAGCGACTACAGCTGCTGGACTTTTTCTGTTGGGTTCATTTGTACCACCAAAGCCATTTAAAGAAAATGATAATGTACAATTGGAAATGACTAACTTACGAACGAACAAGTGTCTTAAAACCCATTACGAGTTTATGCATGAGATTAATGCTTTGAAAATTGTATACCATAATGTTCAAAGCCTTCATGCTCATATTGAAGACATTCGGAATGATTCGGTAATGTTAAAGGCTGACGTATTATGTTTTGTTGAAACTTGGACGCTGCATAATGAAAACTATGAAATTCCAGGGTTCACAGTATTGCCAAGAATGAGATTGGATTCAACGGACCAAAGCAGTCGAAGATGTAAACGGGGCTTAATTGTTTTTGTGAAAAATGAAATCTCTGAATTTACTCAGTATAAATACCAAAAAAAGGTCCATGTACATAATAAAACATTTGAATTTCTGGTGTTTCAAATTAGAGATATTCACATAATGGTCTTATATCGAAACAGCAATTATGGGGTGCATTCTCTTCATCATGAACTACACCATGTTCTGGAAAACTGCATAAATGCAAATTCTCAAAAGGTTGTTATATTAGGAGATTTCAATATATGCCGACAACGAACAAAATCGGAAACTGAAATACTCCTAAACAATAACAACCTTCTTTCTATTCTGAATACACCAACAACGAAAGGTTTAACACAAATTGATTGGTGTTTCAGTAATATTGACGATAGCATAATAAATGCTATAACATACGAAACTGTACATAGTTACCATGACGCGATATGTGTTAACATATCCAATTGAATTTTAATATTTTCTCTTATTGTATTAATTATTAGTTAAGTAAATGCCATGACGTGATATGTATTCACATATTAAATTAACCTGTAACATATTCTTAGTTTATAATATATGATTTTAGCAAGAAATAAAATGCAATTGTACATTTGATATATTATTTGCATATCAAAATGAATACATATCAAAAGTGTTTTAAGTTGCTAACTTATGTTAGCAGTTTTAAGACAATCCCATTTGCTTGAATTAATTGTTTTTCTTACAATTATATTACAAGTAAAAATAAAACCAAAACAAGTCGAAGGATAAGCTATTCAGCGTAGTAGCTTTATATCATTCGACTGTTTACTCCTCCTTGGAATAAGCCTTGACGTGGCGGTGGAGCTAAGTACTTTCAAACTAGAAGGGAAACTAATTATTCCATTTTTTTGTCTCCAATTCTTAACACCTGTTAAAAATTTAGTCAGACAATGAAGATATATTAAATATGTTATTTCCACCATCATTACATGATGGCTATATTAACAACTGAAACATGTCGAATGGCCGCTACTTTAGTAGTGTTTTATTATTCGACTGTTTTACTCCTCCAAGGAATAAGCCTTGACGTGGCGGTGGAGCTAAGTACTTTCATAAAAGAAAGGAAACCAATTATTCCATGTTTAGTGTTGTAGTTTATAATTTAGTCAGCCAGATATTCAAGTCCGATTTCATGTACCCCAAAGATGACACATTTATTCTATCTTCTGGAGGAGCTTTTGTGTATATCCAAAGTGGTGAAGGGTATCATATAGTCGGCCCCGTCCGACTTTACTACTTTCCTTACTGGTTCTATTTTCAAATGTTTTATTTTGGTTATTTTGTAACCGGTTATCGGTTACTTTTTATGTAGATATTGATTTTTGTGTAGTATTATAAAATAAGGTAATTAAAAAGGTAATTTTATACGATTTAAATCATATTGCAAAAATTAAAGTTGAAAAATGGTTACTTTGTAACCGGTTATCGGTTACTTTTGATGTAAATATGGTTATTTTTAAAACTTTTTGCCAAATAATGCAATTTGTTGTGTTACTTATTCATATTCTATTCTTAAACGTTTCAAAAATGATTATTTTGTAATCGGTTATCGATTACTTGCGAAGTCAATGTCGAGTTTTTATAAACTTGTTACCAAAATAATTCTATTTGTTGTGTTTCTTATTCATTTTCTATTCTTAAATGTTTCAAATAATGGTTATTTTGTAACCGGTTATCGGTTACTTTTGATGTAAATATGGTTGTTTTTTAAATTTTTTGCCAAATTATGATACTTTTTATGTTTCTTACTCATTTTCTTTAGTATAAAAATTAAAAAATATTTTCTAAAAAAATTTCAAAAAATTAAAAAAAAAATCACGCCTTGCCGAATTTTGAAAAATATTTTTTAAAAATCCGCTCCTTGGTAAAACGTTAAAAAATATTTTTTAAAATATCCATAACTTGTTAATTTTTGAAAAAAATCATTTTTAAAAAATTCACACTTTGGTAATTCTTAAAAAAATGTTTTTTTAAAAAATCCACGCGTTGGCAATTCTTCAAAAAATTATTTTTTTTTAAATCCATGCCTTGTGAATCTTTGAAAATATATTAAAAAAAAACTTCTTAAAACAAATTTTTAAAAACTCCAAGCCTCCTTTTATCCGCCTTTGCATTAATTATTTCAAATATTCGGAAAGGAGGTTGGATCGGTATTAACTCCCACACTTTTCCGTTAATTCCTTTTGACACCAATTCATTTTCCGATTATTAATTTTCGTGTTGTTTTTTTTTTCTTTTTGCTCTACAAAATTTGTCAGCTTCCCCCAATAGCAAAAATAAGCTGTACCGATGCCAACCTGCCTCGATATTATCTGGCCCAATCGATTAAATTGCCCGCAATAGTAATAATAAGCCATCGATTACAACGGAAAACATGGTCAGAAGTTGTCAATTAATGTATTATTTCATGGTTTTGTAATAAACTAACAACAACAACATGACAAAAAAATAATAGATATGTGTTTGGAATACGAAACTAAGCTAGGTAACCCCCTCGAAAATAAATCGAACGTAATATTGTTTTCGACGATCTTCGGTTGGAGTGTTGGAGCTTTGTCAGAGCTCGCCTGGTGATGGTGGCTGTGGTGGCACATTATAATGTCACTGTGGCAAGTACCACATACTAAATCATTTTTGATAGTGGTTTGTCACCGAAGTGAAGTGAATGAGCGATCACAGCGAACGATCGAATTGTAAGACCCAATCGCCCAGCTAATGAAACTGCATGCCAGCCAGCCAGCTTGGCATGCTGGCGAGGTGGTGTTCTTCAGTTGGGTGCCTTTTGGTGTTGATTTTTCGAAGACAAAGACCAGAGTTTTAATTTTTGTTGTTGTAGTTTGGTCCCATTGGGGATTCAATTGCAACTTGTTGTTGAATTGACGCTAATTAGATGGAATGTTTTTTCGTAGACTTTGAGGTTTCGTTTAAAAAAATTAAAAAAAAAAAAATAAATAAATAAATCTTTATGTGGTCGTTTATTTAAGGTTAATACTAACGACTAGTTAGTAGTTGGTTGCCACAAATGGTGATCGGATCGGAGATGGAATGTAGAAAAAATGTTCGCATACATTTTACGACGTAAAAAACAAAATTCGAGGGGAAGCAAAATTACTAGAAGTAAAACCAGTAAGGAAGGAAGTAAAGACGGACGGGACCGACTATATGATACCCTTTCTCACTTTGGGTATATTCAACAGATAAATCCTAACAGACGTCGCTTTTTTTAAGGGACCAGTAAAATGAAATTGGATCCATAAACATGTCATTCTGCAACCGATACTAAATTTTTCATTTGGTCAGATATTGAAGCTACATCTAAATCTGAACCGATTTTCAGGAAACATAACACACTTCATTCTAGACCTAATTCATTACGCTGTGCTAAATTTCGTGCAAATCGAATCATATATAGGGACTTTGGTGGACCACTTACATTAAATCGAACGAAAATACAGGTGGGAGCTATATCTAAATCTGAACCGATTTTCACGAAACTTAACACACATCATTCTAGATCTAATTCATTACGCTGTGCAAAATTTCGTTCAAATCGAAAGATATATAGGGACTTTGGTGCACCATTTACATTAAATCGGAAGAAAATATATATGGGAGCTATATATAAATCTGAACCGATTTTCCGGAAACTTAACACACATCATTCTAGACCTAAATCAATACGCTGTGCCAAATTTCATGCAAATCGAGAGATATTTAGGGACTTTGGTGTACCATTTACATTAAATCGGACGAAAATATATATGTGGGAGCTATATCTAAATCTGAACCGATTTTCAGGAAACTTAACACACATCATTCTATACCGAATTTATTACGCTGTGTCAAATTTCGTGCAAATCGAAAGATATTAAGGGATATTGGTGAACGATTTACATTAAATCGGTCGAAAATATATATGGGAGCTATATTTAAATCTGAACCGATTTTCAGGAAACTTAACACACATCATTCTATACCGAATTTATTACGCTGTCCCAAATTTCGTGCAAATCCAAAGATATATAGAGACTTTGGTGCACCATTTATCTTAAATCGGACGAAAATATATATGGGAGCTATATCTAAATCTGCAGCGATTTTCCGGAAACTTAACACACATCATTCTAGACCTAATTCATTACGCTGTGCCAAATTTCGTGCGAATCGAAAGATATATAGGGACTTTGGTGGACCATTTACCTTAAATCGGACGAAAATATACATGGGAGCTATATCGAAATACGAACCGATTTCCAGGAAACTTAATACACATCATTCTAGACCTAAATCATTACGTTGTGCCAAATTTCGTGCAAATCGAAAGATATATAGGGACTTTGGTGCACCATTTACATTAAATCGGACGAAAATATATATGTGGGAGCTATATATAAATCTGAACCGATTTTCAGGAAACTCAACACACCTAATTCATTACGCTGTGCTAAATTTCTTGCAAATCGAACGATATATAGGGACTTTGGTGCACCATTTACATTAAATCGGACGAAAATATATATGTGGGAGCTATATCTAAATCTGTACCGATTTTCAGAAAACTTAACACACATCATTCTAGACCTAATTCATTACTCTGTACAAAATTTTGTGCAAATTGAAAGATATATAAGGACTCTGTTACACCATTTATATTAAATCGGTCGAAAATATATATGGGAGCTATATTTAAATCTGAACCGATTTTCAGGAAACTTAACACACATCATTCTAGACCTAATTCATTACGCTGTGCTAAATTTCGTACAAATCGAAAGATATTGAGGGACTTTGGTGGACCATTTAAATTAAATCGGACGAAAATATATATGTGGGAGCTATATCTAAATCTGAACTGATTTTTCCCAAATTTGACCTATGCCAAATTTCATCCAAATCGGATAATAGACTACCCTGAAAAAAATATTTTTTTCACTAACAAATCTACCGACCATCCCTGGTGATCGGCATTGCACATTTTATTTGTCTCAATATTATTATGTATGTTAGTTTTTATTGTTGTTGTTGTTGTTATTATGATTATATGATATCTTAACAAAATATTTTTTTTTTCAAAATCAAAACTAACAACAACAACATGTAAGACATTAATTTATGCCTTTATTAACACTTTGTGGTCAATAAAAAAATTTAAAAAAAAAATACAAAAAAAAATCTGAAAAATAAATTGTGTTTTGAAAAAAATCGACGTTGTAAACTTCTTGTCATCGATGCGAGATTAAATCAAACACACAACAAAGAGAGAGACATGTGGGGAGAGCGAGCCATCGAGCAAAAAAACTTATTAAATTGAGTTGTTGTATTAGTGTTTTCACAACACAATAGTCGCTGTCCATTAAGAATTTTAATTAATGATTTTCAAAAAAGGCAAAAAATAAAAAAAAAAATTAAAAAAAAACAGAAAAAATTGTAAATTCACTTTAGTTATAAATTTACAAAAGAAGAAAACAAAAAAAAAACGGAGATATGACAGTTGAACGGAACCTTGGAAAAATGAATGTATTATCGCGCAAAAGTTGTCAATAAACGATGGAAAAAACTCTTAATTGCCTTCAATTGTTTAAATTAAAAAAAAAAAAATTAAAAAACCAATATAAAAATAAATAAATACATAAAAACAATGATTGATATTAACCTCAATTTTTTTAGTACAAAAAAAGGCCTAGAATTTGGTAGGTAACTTCAAAAAATTCAAAAAAATCCATGCCTTGTGGAACATTGAAAAAATATTTTTTAAAAAAATCTACGTCTTGTGGATCTTTCAAAAAAATATTAAAAAAAAATATTTTTTAAATCCAAGCCTTGTGGGTAACCTCAAAAACACATTTTTATACCCTTCACCACACTGTGGTACAGGGTATTATGTCTTTGTGCATATGTTTGTAACGGGCAAAAGGAAACGAGATAGACCCATGGTTTCTATTGAATATACATATAATCACTTTCTGAGTCGATTTATGCATGTCCGTCCGTCCGTTCGTCCGTCTGTCTGTCTGTCGATGTTAAATTGTAAACAAAGTACATGTCGCATTTATAATCCAAATTGGATGAAATTTGGCATAGGTCACTTATTTGACCCAAGGACGAACCCTATTGCAATTCGGAAAAATCTTTCAATTCGCACGAAATTTGGTACAGCGTAATTAATTAGGTCTAGAATGATGTGTGTCAAGTTTCCTAAAAATCGGTTCAGATTAGGATATAGCTCCCATAAATATTTTCGTCCGATTTTATGTAAATGGTGCATCAAAGTCCCTATATATCTTTCGATTTGCACGAAATTTGGCATAGCGTACTAGATTGAGTCTAGAATGATGTGTGTAAAATTTCTTGAAAATCGGTTCAGATTTGGATATAGCTCCCATATATATTTTCGACCGATTTAATGTAAATGGTTCACCAGAGTCCCTATATATTTTTCGATTTGCACGAAATTTAGCACAGCGTAATGAATTAGGTCTAGGATGTTGTGTGTTAAGTTTCCTGAAAATCGGTTCAGATTTATATATAGCTTATAAATCTGACCAAATGAAAAATTTAGTACGGGTTGCAGAATGACATGTTTATGGATCCAATTTCATTTTACTGGTCCTGTGTCTGTGACGTCTGTTAGGATTCATCTGTTGAATATACCCAAAGTGGTAAAAGGTATCATATAGTCGGCCCCGTTCGACTTTACTACTTTCCTAACTGTTTTTTTTTAAATGCACGCCTTGTGGAACTTTCAAAAATATTTTTTAAAAAAATCCACGCCTTGTGGGTAACTTCAAAACTATTTTTTTTTGTAATTTACGTTGAAGCCAACCCAATAAATTAGGTCACCTCTCAATGTTACAATGTTTCTAAAGCCGAACACATTGACAGACATTTAAATGTGCGCAAAAAAAAATCAAACTGATCGACAAAGTAACCTAAGTGGAATAGAGAATACGCATATAATCTCCAAAATGTTGATGGTAGCTACAGACCAAATAAATTATTGGGGATTATTTTTGTTGGTGAGATTTCTTTGAAATAAGTAGAAGACCCATGAAGAGGGAGGTGAGTTACCTCCTCGTCGAATTTTACGTTCAAGTATTGAACGAATTTTCGCATTTTTTGTGTGCTTAATTGTTAAATGCTCTCACCCCCCTCTATGTCTGTCACAATCCCTCCCTCCAGATGATGCTCTGACACTGTCATTACAAGTGAATGATTTGAGACGTGACATGAAATTTCACTTTAAACGCCACCATATATCTCTGGGCTTTCAGCTCTCGCCAAAAAGCAAACAAATCTTTTCATAGCCTGAGGGAGAGGGGAATCACCACACACACACATAGCCCCACAGATCTTCGTGTAACTGAAAGGCATTTTAAATGGCCAAGATTGTCAATTGTTAGCTGGCAGTTTCTTTGTCTGTTTGGTTTCTTCTGCTTTTTCTTCTTCATCTTCATCATTTGGGTTCCTCCTGATCCAAAGAACAGCCGGGCCATTCCGCAATTGGCATTACAGCGTTTGTCGTTGCTTTTGTTGGAAATTAAGCCAGAAATGGCAAACAAAACGATCGTCGTTGTCGCACATTGACAGACTTATCTTGTCCGTCCTGGTGTTGCTGCTGCCATTGTTGTTGTAGTTGTCGCTGTTGTTGTTGTTGCAGATCAAATTCAATCTTCTTGTTGCCGTCTCTTGTACTTCAAAGTGTCACTCAGCATTCGAAGTGTAATAGATCAGCTTAAATAGTTGGAGTTTTTTTGTTGTATTTCGTTGTTGTCACTGTTGTCTGTCCGTCTGTCTGTCTTGTCTGTTGGACGTGTTTATCGTTTTGTTCGTCAGATTTTTTTCATCCTCTACTTCTTCTTTTTGCTGTTGGCCATTCCAAAACTCCTAAAGCTGTTGTTTTTTCGTTTCATGTATGGTGTATGCGTGTGTGTGTGTTAACTTAATGATCTCCGGTGTACCGCACATGTACGGCTGCTGCTGCTAGCGGCGCGTGTACGCATGCGCACAATTAATGTTTAGTCTATTAAAAAGACTAAATTGTATTTTAATTGAGCGGCAAAATGAAATCAGTTCAGGAGTATTACTAACAATTATTGGTAATAACTTCAACTGTGATAATTTACTGAGAGCATTTATTTTTAAATTCACAAGGCGTGGTTTTAAAAAAAATATTTTTTGAAGTTCCCACAAGACGTGAAGTTTTAAAAAAATATTTTTTCAATGTTCTACAAGGTGTAGATTTTTATACCCTTCACCACACTGTGGTACAGGGTATTATGTATTTGTGCATATGTTTGTAACAGGCAAAAGGAATCGAGATAGACACCCTTTGAGAATATCCATAGAATCACTTTCTGAGTCGATTTATGCATGTCCGTCCGTCCGTCTGTAGATATTAAATTGTAAACAACGTACAGGTCGCATTTATGATCCGATTTGGAAGAAATTTGGCAAAGCTCACTTATTTGGCTCAAGGACGAACCCTATCGAAATTGAAGAAAAACGCTTGAGATTTAGATATAGCTCCCATATATAGTTTTGTCCGATTTTATATAAATGGTCCACCAAAGTCCCTATATATCTTTCGATTTGCAAGAAATTTGGCACGGTGTACTCAATTGAATCTAGAATGACGTGTTCTAAGTTTTGTGAGAATCGTTTCAGATTTAGAAATAACTCCCATATATAATTTTGTCCGATATTATGTAAATGGTGCTCCAAAGTCCCTAAATATCTTTCGATTTGCACGAAATTTGGCATATCGTACTGAATTAAGTCTAGAACGATGTCTGTTAAGTTTCGTGAAAATCGGTTCAGATTTAGATATAGCTCCCGTATATAGTTTCGTCCGATTTAAGGTAAATGGGCACAAACGCCCCTATATATGTTTCAATTTGCACGAATTTTGGCACAGCGTACTAAATTAACTCTAGAATTGTGTGTGCTAAGTTTCGTGAAAATCGGTTCAGATTTAGATATAGCTCTCATATATATTTTCGTCCGATTTAATGTAAATGGTGCACCAAAGCTCCTACATATATTTCGATTTCCACTTTCTCCCATATAAAGTTTCGTCCGATTTAATGTAAATTGTGCTCCAAAGTCCCAAATATCAATCGATTTGACGAAATTTGGCACAGCGTACGGAATTAAGCCTAGAATGATGTGTGCCAAGTTTCGTGAAAATCGGTTTAGTTTTACATATAGCTCCCATATATATATATATATTTTCCTTCGATTTAAGGTAAATGGGGCACCAAAATCCCAATATATTTTTCGATTTGCACGAAATTTGGCACAGCGTACTGAATTGAGTCTTAAATGATGTGTGCTAAGTTTTGTGAATATCGGCTCGAATTTAGATTTATCTTCCATATATATTTTCGTCCCATTTAATGTAAATTGTGCACTAAGAACCCAAAATTTGCCCGACCGGCAATTTTGTACAATGTACTGAAGTTACTATTATTGTTGGGGAGTTGCCAATCTCCTACTAGGCCCGTCTTTCTGGGTGGCGGATGGGAACGGGTTCTCCTTGATGTGCAGAGTGAAACTGACCTAGGTCTCCTAGATCAACTTTTCTCTGTACTTCGTGGAAACCTTGGGGATCTTCGGATCCCCCGTCGATCAAAATGGATCGGGGTAGTGCCCTTAAATAATTCAACTACGATGGATAAAATAAGTAAAAAGAATAAAGTTTTGCATGTTCATGGGGATTTTCGTGCCTTTGAGATGGAAATCTGTCCCTACCATAGCTCTTGTGATAAGTTTCGCGAAAATCGGGTTAGATTTAGATTTAAGTTCGTTAAATTTCATGTGAATGTTCCTTCGAAAAGGCAACGTCTGTTAGGATACATATGTAGAATTTACTCAAAGTGATGAAGGGTATCATATAGTCGGCCCTGTCCGACTTTGCTGCTTTCCTTACTGGTTTAAAAAAATATGTTTTCAAAGTTCAAGGCGTGGATTTTTTAAAAAAGATTCAAAACGATTTTAAAAAATCCATGGTCTTTTTTACCCCTTGTAAAAGTATATTTAAAAAATCCAAACTTCTTTTTACCCCTTGAAAATTTTTTTTCTGAAAATCGTCATTCATTCCGCCAGTGACTGCATTTGTCGAAGTCTCGATTTTTTTTGTGGAGCACTACAAAAAATTTATTGTAAACAAAAACATTTAAAACAGTTGCAGATATTTGTGTTTTTGTTTTCAGTTTTATTGCTGCTGTTGTTGTTGTTGTTGCGATTTTGAAAGAAGTGAATGTAGCCTGGCCATTGCTGGCTAATGGTGTTACGATGTTGCAGCAGCAGTCTCGCCAGCTGCTGACAATAATGCCCCGCTATTATAGTTGTTTGTTGTTATTGCCATTTCAATAACAACAACAACAACAGCCAAGCAAACGATTGACACTATTGCCCCAATTCTGTTTTCGAACGAACAACAACAAACAGAATCATATAAGCAATTGTCGGAACATAAGAGTTGAGACTCCATGAGTCTCAACAAAAATATTTATGGTCAGCTGACCATAAAAACAGGATTAATGATGCCACTTGACTAGGGGACATGGACCCAAAAATGGAATGAATGGAGAAGTATCAGAATGACAAATAATTGCAGGAAAAATGGAACGAAGAGGCCTTTAACGGATCGGAAATTAAAAAAAATAAATAATAAAAAAAAATAAATAAAATAAGAAAAAGGTTGGAATAAAGGAGGATTTTCTGATACCCACAACTGAAGGCTACTCCAGTTTCCATTGAGGTGTAACGAATTATAGTTTCATAAATTTTAAGGAGTTCCGGAATTTATAAATCTGGTTTTGGAGTCCCCATATTTTTGCTTTATATGTTTTTATTTTTTTAAAGTAAATTGAAATACATGTCCCCAAAAATAACATTTTAAGGAGTTCGGGAATTCATAAATCTGGGTTTGGTGTTGCCATATTTGTGCTTTATATATCTCTTGTTTTGAAAGTAATCTCTAACCTCAAATAAATGTGCTTCCAAAATATTTTATCATTTAAAGAAAATATTTTTCCCATACAAATTTTTGTTTCAGATATGTATAAAAAATAACAACAATAACAAAAAAAAAAAAAAAAAAAAAAAAAAAAATAACGAAGTTTTTTTTGCATATCTCCCTCCATGGCAAAAAAAAACAAAAACCATAAAAATCCACCATGCACATGTGTGCCTTAATAGTTTCTGGCTTGGAGGATATCCCATTCTGTTTGGCAATAGTTCAAAATGTTACCACATTCTCACTTCGTTTTGAATGTTTTTTTTTTTTTTGTAAAAATTGTTGTTATTGTTGTTTTTTTAAAAAAATAAACGAAAATTGAACTCACCTGCATATAACGTGCCAACGCTGCGGCATTTGCCCGTTGCACTTGCGATCTTAGCTGCGGCTGTGGCGAGCCCAGAGGGCTAACAATTGTCGATGTTGAACCGCCAATGCCCGTATCATAGCCTTGGGCATTGCTGCTGCAATCGACATCTGTAAGGAGAATAGAAAAACAAATTTAAAAATAGAGAAATAATACAAAACAAAAAAAAAAAAAAATAAATAAAATAAAATAAATAAATAAAAATATTTTTTCAATATATTTTTTTGGAAATTCTAAAGAAGCGTGGATATACATATATATATATATATATATATTTTTTCTTTTTCAATACTTTTAATATCTGAAGATTTTTTTTATTTTTTCCACATTCCAAATAACCGTGGATATTAAAAATATTTTTCAAAACTGCAACCACTCCTGGAATTTTTATACCGTTCACCTCACTGTGGTAAAGGGCATTATGACTTTGTGCATATGTTTGTAACAGGCAAATGAAATCGATGTAGACCCATGGCTACTTTTGAGAATATGCATAGAATAAATTTCTGATCCGATTTATGTATGTCCATCCGTCCGTCTGTCTATGTAAAATTGTAGACAAAGTACAGGTAGCATTTTTGATCAGAATGAAATGAATTTTAGCACAGCTTATTTATTTGACCCAAAGACGAACCTTATTGAAATTGGAGGAAATTAATTCAGATTTAGATATAGATCCCATACATAGTTTCGCTCGATTTTATATAAATTTTATATAAAGGTTTGACCGATTGAGACGAAATTGTGCAGAGCGCTTTAAATTGAGTCTACAATAAAGTGTATTAAATTTCATTGAAATCGGATCAGAATTAGATATAGCTCCCATATATATACTATCGTCCGATTTTTAGTAAATGGTGCATAAAAGCTCCTATATTTCCTTCGATTTGCACGAAATTTGGCACGGCGTATTAAACAAAGTCTAGAATGATGTGTGCTAAGTTTCATTGAAATCGGTTCAGATTTAGCTATAGCTCCCATATATAGTTTCGTCCGATTTTCGGTAAATGGTGGACCAAAGCCCCTATATTTCGATCGATTTACACGAAATTCGGCACAGCGTATTGAATTGAGCCTAGAATGATGTGTGCTAAGTTTCATTGAAATCGGTTGAGAGTTAGATATAGCTGCCACATATATCTCGTCCGATTTTCAGTAAACGATGCACCAAAGCCCCTATATATCCTTCGATTTGCACGAAATTTGGCATAGCGTATTGAATTAAGTCTAGAACAACGTGTGCTAAGTTTCATTGAAATCGGTTCAGATATAGATATAGCTCCCATATGTAATTTCGTCCGATTTTATGTAAATGATGCACAAAAGATCCCAAGTCTGTTCGATTTGCGGCATAGCGTATTAAATTGAGACTAGAAGGATGTGTGCTAGGTTTCATTGAAATCGATTCAGATTTAGATATAGCTCCCATATATAGTTTCGTTCGATTTTAGGTAAATTGTGCACCAAAGAGCCAAAATTTGTTCGATTTGCACGAAATTCTGCATAGCGTATTAAATTGAGTCTATATTGATGTGTGCTAAGTTAAATTGAAATCGGTTCAGATTTAGATATAGCTCCCACATATATTTCTGGCCGATTTTATCTAAATTGAAATTGGATCATATATAGATATAGCTCCCATATATTTTTTCCTTCGATTTGTAGTAAATGGTGCATCAAAGCCCCTATATTATTTTCGATTTACACGAAATTTGGCATAGCGCATTAAATTGAGTCTAGAATAATGTGTGCTAAGTTTCATTGAAATCGGCTCAGATTTAGATATAGCTCCCATATATACTATCGTCCGATTTTTAGTAAATGGTGCATAAAAGCTTCTATATTTCCTTCGATTTGCACGAAATTTGGCATAGCGTATTGAATTAAGTCTAGAACAACGTGTGCTAAGTTTCATTGAAATCGGTTCAGATATAGATATAGCTCTCATATGTAGTTTCGTCCGATTTTATGTAAATGATGCACAAAAGATCCCAAGTCTGTTCGATTTGCGCGAAATTCGGCATAGCGTATTAAATTGAGGCTAGAATGATGTGTGCTAGGTTTCATTGAAATCGATTCAGATTTAGATATAGCTCCCATATATAGTTTCGTTCGATTTTAGGTAAATTGTACACCAAAGAGCCAAAATTTGTTCGATTTGCACGAAATTCTGCATAGCGTATTAAATTGAGTCTATATTGATGTGTGCTAAGTTAAATTGAAATCGGTTCAGATTTAGATATAGCTCCCACATATATTTCTGGCCGATTTTATCTAAATTGAAATTGGATCATATATAGATATAGCTCCCATATATATTTTCCTTCGATTTGTATTAAATGGTGCATCAAAGCCCCTATATTATTTTCGATTTACACGAAATTTGGCATAGCGCATTAAATTGAGTCTAGAATGACGTGTGCTAAGTTTCATTGAAATCGCTTCAGATTTATATATAGCTCCCATATATATTTTCGTCCGATTTTAAGTAAATGATGCACCAAAGCCCCTATATGTCTTTTGATTTTCACGAAATTCGGCATAGCGTATTAAATTGATCCTAGAGTAATTTGTGTTAAGTTTCGTGAAAATCGATTCAGATTTCGATATAGCTCCCATATATATTTTCTGCCGATTTTACTTATAGAATGCACCAAAGAGCCTACATTCGTCCGATTTACACAAAATTTTGCACAGCAAACTGAAATGAGTCTAAAATTATGTGTGCTAAGCTCCCATATATATTTTCGTCCGATTTTATTTAAATGATTAACCAAAGCCCCTATATGTCTTTTGATTTGCATGAAATTTTGCATAGCGTTCTGAATTTAGTCTTGAATAATGTGTGTTAAGTTTCATTGAAATCGGTTCAGATTGAGATATAGCTCCTATATATATTTTCGTCCGATTTGAGATAAATCGTGCACAAAAGCTCCTATATATAATTCGATTTGCTCGAAATTTTGCATAGCGTGTTAAATTGAGTCTAGAATAATGTGTGCTAAGTTTCATTGAAATCGGCTCAGATTTAGATATAGTTCCGATACATATTTTCATCCGATTTTATGTAAATGAGACACTAAGCCTCTAGATTTCTTTCGATTTACACGAAATTCGGCACAGCGTATTAAATTGAGTCTATATTGATATGTGCTAAGTTTCATTGAAATCGGTTCAAATTTAGATATGGCTCCCATATATGTTTTCGTCCGATTTAAGGTAAATGATTCACCAAAGTCCCTATATTACTTTCGATTTGCACGAAATTTGGCATAGAGTATTAAATTGAGCCTAGAATGATGTGTGCTAAGTTTCATTGAAATCGGTTTAGATTTAGATATAGCTTCCATATATATTTTCGTCCGATTTTATGTAAATGATGCACCAGGGCCCCGATATTGTTTCCGATTTGCACGAAATATGCACAGCGCACTGAATTATGTCTAGAATAGTATGTGTTAAGTTTCGAGAAAAACGGTTCAGATTTAGATATAACTCCCATATATATTTTCGTCCGATTTAATACAAATAGTGTACCAAAATCCTTGTACATCTTTCGATTCGCACGAAATTTGGCATAGCGTATTAAATTGAGGCTAGAATGATGTGGTTTTAAAGATTTTTGTGATTTTGAATTTTTGTAAAAATATTTTTTTGATTATTTTTTTAATATTCTATTTTTTGCTCACATTGTTGTATTTGGCATTTGTGCGGGACCAATTAGTTAGCTTTTATTGGTAACACTTTACATTTACATGAGACCTCTGACACGACACTGTCATTTGATGCTTAATGGCAGTTACTTAGTTTCAAAATACCAAGAACAACAACAACGGCAACATCAACAACAAATTGTTGGCAGACAACAATTTATATTTGTAAAAGAAGCCAAGTGTTCGGCTGACTACAAAATACCTCCCCTCATACCCTCCTAACCTTACGCTCCCACCCACCAAACAACAATAAATACAAATTACAATACAAACAAAAAAATATGTAAGCAAAAATGTTGTTTTCATTTTCGTTTGCGCACTTAGAAGTCGTCATTAGAAAAAATGTAAAAAAAATTAACAACAACAACAATAACACCATTACAAAAAATGCAAATCTAAAATTGCAGTCCGTAGAGAAAAAAAAAATCGAAAACAGTTCAGAAAAACAAAAAACTAGTTAGATATTCAAATTACCCAACAACAATATAAGTAATAATGATAAAAACACAATAACAACAACGATCTACGATGTGGCAACAACAACAGCAACAAAAAAAAGAAGGCCTTCTAACCAACCCACTGCCAGTATCAGCTACTGCAACAACAATGTTCGGATAAGCTTTACCATGGCCTTTTAGCATCCAAATCATTTATAATTGAGTTTAGTATTTAAAACTAAGTTCTTTTGCGGGGGAGGGGAAGGGAGGGGGCATGGAATTACAGCACCATTACTAACAACAGCAATAACAACAACACCTGAATAGCTGACAATAATTTATGACGAATTCAATTAAAAAACGCGCTCAAGAACCTCAAAATACCGAAAATTTGGGGGTACCCTTTTATGGGAGCTATGCCTATACGTCAACCGATTTTCTCCAATTTCAATAGGGTTCGTCCTTGGGCCAATTAAGTAATCTGTGCCAAATTTCATCCAAATCGGATCATAAATGCGACCTGTACTTTGTTCACAAAAATACATGGACGGACAGACGGACAGACGGACGGACAGACGGACATGCGTAAATCGACTCAGAATGTGATTCTATGCATATTCTCAAAAGGAACCATGGGTCTATCTCGATTATTTTTGCCTGTTACAAACATATGCACAAAGACATAATACCCTGTACCACAGTGTGGTGAAGGGTATAAAAATAGATGGGTGCTATATCTAAATCTGAACCGATTTTCACTAAACTTAGTAAATGTCATTCTATACAGATTTCGTGTAAATCGAAGGATATATAGGGAGATTAGTGCACTATTTACATAAAATCGGATGAATATATATATATATATATATATATGGGAGCTATATCTAAATCTGAACCGATTTCAACGAAATTTAGCACACACCAATCTAGGCTCGATTTAATACGCTATACAAAATTTCGTTCAAATCGAAAGAAATAGAGGGGCTTTGATGAACCATTTCCATAAAATCGGATGAAAATATATATGGGAGCTACAACTAAATCTGAACCGATTTTTACAAAACTTAGCACACATTATTCTAGCCCCAAATGTATACGCTATGGAAAATTTCGTCTAAATCGAAAGAAATATAGGGGCTTTAATGCATCATTTTCATAAAATCGGAAGAAACTATATATGGGAGCTATATCTAAATATGAACCGATTTCACCAAAACTTCGCATACATCAATCTGGACTCAATTAAGAGCGCTGTGCAAAATTTCGTGCCAATCGAAAGAAATATAGGGAGATTGGTGCACCATTTACATAAAATCGGATGAAAATATATATGGGAGCTATATCTAAATCTGAACCGATTTAAATGAAACTTAACAAACACCATTTTAGACTCAATTAAGTACGCTATACTACATTTCATGCAAATTGGGCAAATATTGGGGCCTTGGTGCAACATTTACCCATAATCGGACGAAAATTTATATGGGAGCTATATCTAAATCTGGACCGATTTGAACAAAACATACATCATTCTAAACTTAATTCAATGCGCTTTGCCAAATTTCGTGCAAATCTAAAGCAATATAGAGATTTGGTGCACCATTTACATAAAATCGGACGAAAGTTTATATGGGAGCTATATATAAATCTGAACCGATTTCCATCAATTTCAATAGGGTTCGTCCTTGGACCAAATAAATGAGCTGTACCAAATTTCATACAAATCGGATGATAAATGCGACCTACACTTTGTTTACAATTTTACAACAAAAGACGGACGGACGAAGATGAATAAATCGACTCAGAAAGTGATTCTATGGATATTTTCAAAAGAAACCATGGGTCTATCTCGTTTCCTTTTGCCTGTTACAAACATATGCACAAAGGTATGTCAAACTTCTGATGATATTCGGCCTCTTAATATTAATCCACGCCTCTTGAAAAAATAGTCTTTAAAAATCCACGCCTCTAATAGACCCTTGAAAAAATAGTCTTTAAAAATCCATGCCTTTAATAGACCCTTGAAAAAATAGTCTTTAAAAATCAATGCCTTTAATAGACCCTTGAAAAAATAGTTTAAAAATCCACGCATCTAATAGACCCTTGAAAAAATAGTCTTTAAAAATCCACGCCTTTAATAGACCCTTGAAAAAATAGTCTTTAAAAATCCACGCCTTAAATAAAATATTCTTTAAAAATCCACGCCTTAAATTAAATATTCTTTAAAAATCCACGCCTTAAATAAAATATTCTTTAAAAATCCACGCCTTAAATAAAATATTCTTTAAAAATCCACGCCTTAAATAAAATATTCTTTAAAAATCCACGCCTTAAATAAAATATTCTTTAAAAAATCCACGCCTCTAATAGACCCTTGAAAAAAATAATCTTTAAAAAATCCACGCCTCTAATAGACCCTTGAAAAAAATAATCTTTAAAAAATCCACGCCTCTAAGAGACCCTTGAAAAAATAGTCTTTAAAAATCCACGCCTCTAATAGACCCTTGAAAAGATAGACCCTTGAAAAAATAGTCTTTAAAAATCCACGCCTCTAATAGACCCTTGAAAAAATAGACCCTTGAAAAAATAGTCTTTAAAAATCCACGCCTTTAATAGACCCTTGAAAAATAGTCTTTAAATAAGGCCTTGAAGAAATATTCTTTGAAAATCCACGCCTCTAATAGACCCTTGAAAAAATATTTTTTAAAAAATTCACGCCTTAAATAAGGCCTTGATTTTTTTTTTAGATCCACGCCATATGTAGGAGGCTTGATAATATTATTTTCAAAATCCACTGCTATAGAGGGTCCCTAACAAATATTCTTTAAAAAATTCACGCCTTACGTATGTCCTTAAAAAAGTTATGTGAAAAAATACACACCTTATATATGTCCATAAAAAATATTCATTACAAAATCTACGCCAGGTGTAAGTCCTTAATAAAATATTTGAAAAAAATCCACGCCTTATATAAAACTTTTTAGTTCTTGAAAAAAAAATATGTTTTGAAAGAACAACTATGTTTTGTCACAAAATATTTTTTTTCTGTTTTTGCAAAATAGTCAGGCTTTTTTTCAAGAACTAAAAAATTTTATTCGTGCCTCCCTAATACACATTTATCTATGATATACAATACTGCATTTAAATCTAGTTTTTGTTAGATTTTTTTTGAAAATTTTTTACAACAAAACCCAACAAGTGTTTGCCAGTGTTGACCTTTAATGGTTTATTTACGATATTTAAACATAATTGCATTCGAACAATAAATCGGTTGCACGAAGCAAAACAAAAGTAATAAAAAACTGGGTGTGATTGTTTTTCCCGACAAACAGATAAATACGATTTTCTCCCCCATTCCATCTACCTCTATTCTCCCCCACTAAACCTTTGTAATGAACAAAAAAAAAAATTGAGAGATAAACAATTAATGCCAACATGATTGTGGTTAGTTTTTTTTTTGCAATTAAAAACGATGGCTAGAATTGTAAAGTGTTATAATAACACAATATTTATTATTTTTTTACATTATAATTATAGATCAGTGAGGTTGATAACTTTGGCTGCAGGGTGACTAGATGTGGATTTGCTATTATTATTAATTAATCATGAATTCAACATTTTTATTCCGCATGCAATTAAAAAAGTATTTTTTTGTATAAAAATTGTTGAGAGGTCTGTGATGTTCGGCAACACCTTTCATAAATTCAATATGAATATTTAAAAAAAAATATTTTTAAAATATAAATATTTTTTTTTAATTTAGTCGATGGTTGATGGTTTTGGTCTATAAATTACTAATTTTTGGGATTTTTTTTTATAAAAAAATTGGTCAATTTTATTGGACATTTTTTGGTATAAAAAAATTTCGTCGGAATTTCTATATTGATTTTTTTTAATTTAATTTTCTTTAGATGTTGTTAATTTTAATTCTAGAATTTACTAATTTTTGGGATTTTTTTATATATAAAATTTGATCAATTTTTTGGGTATAAAAAAATGCCAACATTTTAAAATTTAATCGCATTTTTTGCTATAATTTACTAATTTTTGAGAATTTTTTTATATAAAAACATTTTATTTTTGCTATAAAAAAAAATTGGTCGGAATTTCTATATTGATTTTTTAATTTAATTTTCTTTAGGTGTTGTAAATTTTCAGTCTATAATTTACTAATTTTTGGGATTTTTTTAATATACAAAATTTGGTCAATTTTTTTGGTATAAAAATGGCAACATTTTAAAATTTAGTCGCATTTTTGATGGTTTATGGTTTTAGTCTATAATTTACAAATTTTTGGGATTTTTTAAATACATAAAAAATTTGGTCAATTTTTTTGGAATTTTTTTTGGTATAAAAAAAATTTGGTCGGAATTTATTGTTGGAATTTTTTAAATATACAGAATTTGGTAAATTTTTTGGTATAAAAAATGGCAACATTTTAAAATTTAGTCGCATTTTTGATGGTTTTACTCTATATTTTCGGATTTTTTTTATATAAAAAATTTGGTCAATTTTGGATTTTTTTTGGTATAAAAAATTTGGAATTTCTATATTTATTTTTTTTAAATTAATTCTTTAGTTGCTGCTATTTTCAGCCTATAATTTACTAATTTTTGAGAATTTTTTGAATATACAAAATTTGGTATTTTTTTTTTTGTATAAAAAATGGCAACTTTTTAAAATTTAGACGCATTTTTTAAAGTTGATGATTTTAGTCCATAATTTACTAATTTTTGATTTTTTTTTTACATAAAAAATTTGGTCAATTTTTTGGATTTTTTTTTTGTATAAAAAAAATTTGGTCGGAATTTCTATATTAATTTTTTTTAATTTAATTTTGTTGTTAATTTTTACACTCTATCCTTTAAAATTGGTGAAGAATTTTTGTTTTAAATAATTGGTCGGTTTTTTTGGTATAGAAAATATAATAAATTTGGTCGGAATTTCTAAACTGATTTTTTTTAATTTAATTTTCTTTAGGTTTTTTATATAAACAACTTGGTCAATTTTTTTGGTATGAAAAAAATTGGATTTTTTTTTTGGAAATTTGGTCGGATTTTCTATATTGATTTTTTTTAATTTAATTTTCTTTAGGTGTTGTTAATTTTCAGTCTCCTTGTTCTAAAACTGACGGAATTTTTTGGTTTCAAAAATTTTGTCGGTTTTTTTTTTGTATAAAAATTATAATAATAATTTGGTCGGAATTTCTATATTGATTTTTTTACATTTAATTTTCTTTAGGTGTTGTTAATTTTTAGTCTCCTTGTTCTAAAACTGACGAAATTTTTTTGGTTTCATAAAATTGGTTGGTTTTTTTCTTGTATAAAAATTATAATAAATTTGGTCGGAATTTCTATATTGATTTTCTTTAAATTAATTTTCTTAAGGTGTTGTTAATTTTCAATTTGCATATTTTAACACTGGCTCAAATTTTTGGTTTCCAAAAATTGGTCGGGGTTTTTGTGGTATAAAGATTATAATAAATTTGGTCGGAATTTTTATATTTATTTTTTTCAAATTTAATTTTCTTTAGGTCTTGTTAATTTTCAAACTCCATATTTTATAACTGCTGGGAATTTTTGGATTCAAAAAATTGGTCGGTTTTTTGGTATAAAAATTATAATAAATTTGGTCGGAATTTCTATATTGATTTTTTTCAATTTAATTTTCTTTAGGTGTGGCTAACTTTCGACCTCCATATTGTAAAAACTGGTGGAAATTTTTTGTTTCAAAAAATTGGTCGGTTTTTTTTATAAAAATTATAATAAATTTGGTCGGATTTTCTATACAGATTTTTTTTAATTTAATTTTCTTTACGTATTGTTAATTTTCAGTCTCCATATTTTAAAAGTGGTGGAAATTTTTTGGTTTCAAAAAATTGGTCGGTTTTTTGGTCCGATTTTATTTTTATTTCTAATGTAAAAATTAATAAAAATCATGTAATTTTTCTCAACATACCTTTCAGCGAACTATTCATGCACATCGGACACTGATCGTTGCGGAACATACACGAATAGCAGCGTTCATGACCGCAGGTGTCGATCAATTTTCTCCTCTTGCCCTTGTCGAACGAGATGCGACAGCTGGGACATACCGATGAGCTGGTATCGTGTTCTAATAAACGGCGTATCGATTGTAAGTCTGAAAATAAACAAATAAATTTTAAATTAGAGAAATATTTTTTTGGAAAATAAAAAAAAATATTTTTTGAAAAACTATTTTTTTAAATATTATTTTGAAAAGAATTTTTTTTAAATATAAAAAAATTATTTTCTTTTTTGGAAATTAAAACAATTTTTTGAAAAATTAAATTTTTTAAATAATTTTTTTTAATTAAAAAAATATTTTTTAAAAAAATTCAATTTTTTAAAAAAAAGTTTAAAAATTCATTTTTTTAAAATTTTTTTTTTTGAATAATTGAATATTTTTTTAAAACGTAGAAAACATGTTTTGTTTTTTAAATAGGAAACATTTTTTAATTTTTTTTCAATAAAAAATATTGTTTTTCAAATAAAATTTGAAAAAAAATTTAATTTTTTATAAAATTATTTTTTAAATAAATATATATTTTTTTTGTATTTTTCGTTTGAAAATACAATGGAAAATATTTTTCTCCCATGCTATAAATTTTTTTTCAATATTTTTTCTCTCATGCTATATTTTTTAATTTTTTCCGTTTTTATTTAAATTTTTTTCTACATTTTTATACGGTTCCCCGTTTAATTTGCCAAAATAATATTATATCTCATGCCATAATATTTCCTTCACATTAAAAATAAGTTGTCTTTCAATCCAAAAATAAATTTTCAAAATTTATTCATTGACACACTCACGTTTTCTTGTTGTGTTATAGTAATTTTGTTGTTGCTGTCATTGTTATTGTTGCTTTTTTATTGTCTACTGTTTGCGCATATATAATTTCAAATTAGTATTCAATTGCCTGGCCGCTTGTTGAAAAAAACTTAATATGGAGGCGGGCGTATTTGGGCAGATGTTCGTACGGTTGGATGTTCGTTTGGCTGTTTGTCCAACCGGTTAAGGAGATGGCCCTAAATAACGTTTTAACTTTATGTGTGAAAATTCCAGTTTTGTATTTTATTTCAGTTGTTACTTGTTTTTGGCAAGGCATTTTTGCCGCAAATTCCATTAAAGTTTGCCGAACATGAATTATGAGACACATCGGGGAATACACACGCGTGCTATGACTTTTTATGGGCAGTTTGGATGTAGTACTCTTTTTTTCGGGGAAAATGATAGGCGTAAAATCGTTTAAAACAAAAATAACATGACCAATGTAAAGCAATTATTATTTTATTTACATGGAATTTGTTGGAAGAGATTTGAAATCAATTCTTAATAAAATTAAAAAAAAAATTCAAATTTCTTAGAAATATGAAAAAGTTTTTTATTAATTCAATTGAAATTTCAAAAAAGTGTTAACTAAAAAAATTGGAAGATTTTTTAGGAATTAAAAAAATTTGTTCGGGTTTTTTTTTGGTACAAAAATAATTGATCGAATTTTTGGGGAAAAATGTAATTATGTTAAATAAAAAATATTACCTATAAATATATAATTGTAGCAATATTTTTTGGTATTAAAAATTTTTGTTAGGCTTTTTGGTACAAATTTGGTCGAATTTTTGGGATTTTTTTATATTATATTAATTACAATTGAAATAGTTATAAAATATTAATTTGGTAGCAAAAATTTTGCTTTGAGTTTTTTTTTTTTGGTACAAAAAAATTGGTCGAATTTTTGGGAAATTTATTTTTATATATTAAATGCAATCGAAATTTTTATGTAATTGGACAAGTTTTTTTTATCAAAAAATTTTGGACGGATTTTTTGGTACAAAAAAAAGTCGAATTTTTTATTTATCAAATGTAATTGGAATCTTTATAAAATATTAAATAAAAAAGTAATAATTGGAGGCATTTTTTATATTAAAAGAATAAATGCAATTGAAATCTTTATAAAATATTAACTAAAAAAATTATAATTGGAATATTTTAGAATATTTTTTCGTATATTTTTTGTCGGATTTTTTTTTTGGTACAAAAAAATGTGGTCGAATTGTTGGGAATTTTTTTAATTTTGTTTATAAAATATTAATAAAAATTACAAATTGGACGATTTTGTTTGGTATCAAAAAATTTGGTCGTTTTTTTTGGAACAAATAAAAATAATTGGTCGAATTTGCGAGATTTTTTTATTACGTTAAATACTAGGAAATCTTTATGAAATAATAATTAAAAAAAATATAATTGGAGTTTTTTTTTGGATTGAAAAAAAAAATTGGTAGGGTTTTTTGGTATAAAAAAATTTGATCGAATTTTTGGGAATTTTTTTTTATTATGTTAAATGGAATTGAATTCTTTATACAAAAATATTAACTAAAAAATTATATTTGAAAATATTTTTTGGTATAAAAAATTTTTGGTCGGATTTTTTATTTTGGTATAAAAAAAATGGTCGAATTTTTTGGAAGTTTTTTTATTATTTTATTTTTTTTAAATTTGGTCAATTTTTTTCGTGCAAAATAAAAATTGGTAGAATTAATGGATTTTTTTTTATTTTATTAAATGCAATTGAATCATTTATAATATATTAATTTAAAAAAAAATTTGACTTTTTTTTGTATCAAAGAAATTTTGATAAGATTTTGGTACAAAAAAATCTGGTCGAAATTTTGGGCATTATTTTATATTATGTTAAATGCAATTTAATTATTATAAAACATTAATTTAAAAAAATAATAATTGGGCGATTTTTTTATATTAAACATTTTTGGACGATTTTTTGGGTCTTACAAAATTTGGTCGAAAATTTGTTTTCTTGATTTTTTCCCAATTTTTTGTTTTTGATAATTTTCAGACACTAATATGTTAAAGTTGATCGATTTTTTTTTTTGGATTAAAATGTTTTGTCAATTTTTTGGATCTTTTAAAATTTGGTCGATTTTTTTTAAATTATTTACCATTTTAACAATATAAGTTACCGAATATTTCAATTTAGTAAAATTTTGTATATTAAAAATTTTTCCAATGTTTTTGGTATTAACAAATTTTTGGTCGATTTTTTTTTGGGCCTTTCAAAATTTGGTCGAAATTTGTTTCTTTTTTATGTTTTCATCATTTTCAGTCACTAATATTTTAAAGTTGATTGATGTATTTTTTGGGATAAAAACTGTTTGGTCAATTTTTATTTGTTTTCTCAAAAATTTTTTGAATTTAAACATTATAAGTTACCAAATATTTCAATTTAGTACAATTTTGGATATTAAAAATGTTTCCAATGTTTTGGGTATTAAAAAAATTTTGGTTGCTTTTTTGGGCCTTTCAAAATTTGTTTATGTTTTAAACATTTTTAGCCACACATATTTTAAAGTTGATCGATTTATTTATTTGCTACTAAAAAATGTTGGTCGATTATTTTTGGATATTTCCAAATTTGGTCGAATATTTTTGCTTGATTTTTTTTTAAATTTTTTCTTGTATTGAACATTTGGGGTTTCTATGCTTCAAAATGTCAATGTTAAGTGTCGATCTCCGCACTCCTTGCCTCCCACTTCTAATCCCTTAGGCATCGAATTTTTTATTTATGTGCAACTTAACCTCAAAATGAAAACCTAAGCAAAAATACTCAAATACCCAAATTTCAAAATTAGCATTTCAATGAAATCACCAAATAAATACAAGAACCGGCACAACAACTTCCTACACCGCACGCACAAGCATTTATAAAAAAATACAAAAACAAAAGGCATTTCCTTTGAAATCGGAACATAATTACATATCTGTAAATATGTAAATGTGTGTGTGTGAATTGAAGTTCCATTGAAAATTTGCACATATGCACAAAAACTTTTTGGCCAATTTTTTGCTAAAGAGGGAGGAAGTTTCTCTGTGGTACAAGTTTGGTTTTATGGTAAGTATGTCGCACCATCTGTCTGTCTGACTGCTTGGCCAACAAAACCTAACATGCAGGCAACGTCCGGTGACATTTTGAGCCGAAACCAAACTCCATCCACCATCTCATTAAAAATGCATTCATTCATGACCAAAAATAAAATACAAATTCATTCATTCGAAGTCTGATATTTAAATGTAATCTCAAAAAACATTCGTCATGATTTACAACTTAATTTAATGTTGTTGTTAGTCCCAACATTTTGGCCTTACCCTCAGAATTTTTGAAAAAAAAAAAAAATAAAAAAGTGCACCCACTTAAAAATATTTTTTTCTTCGAGTGTAAAATACAATCGCCTGTGGGTTGTTTGGCAAATACACAAGAGCTTCGCTCATAAACAACAATAAAAGCTTGTTGAGTTACTGACTGACTGACTAACTAACTGACTGACAGACAGAAAACAAAAATCACCGCCAGACATAAAGGAACCACCACCACCAAGTTTGGTATTGAAATACCGTCCGTCCCCGTCCAATGTGGCCCAGAAAACGTTTTCAATATTTTTTATTGGTTGGTTTCTTCAATCATTTACAGCGGGGTAGAAATTTTTATTTAAAACAATACCGCCTTTTTTGGGATTGTTTACATTGTTGTTGTTGGCATTTTAATGTTCAATAAATTTTAGGTGTGGGATAGGTCCAGAATTCATTATGGGGGAACCCAAAACAATTCATTAACACCTGAGTTATGAGTGATACTGTTTTTAAATTATTAAGAAAAAAATTAATTAAATCAACAAAAAATCAAAAAAGGGAAATTTTCAAAAAACCGGGTTTTCAAAAAACCGAATAGCCGGATACAAAAACCGGATATCAAAATGAAAATTAATTTTTAAATTAACAAAAAATATGTGAAATTTCCCAAAAACCGGTTTAAAAAAAACCGAATAACCGGCTACGGATATAAAAATGCCCAAACATGAGCCCAATAATAAATCTAAGATGATATATTTATTGAGATTACATTATATGATTAAAAATCACAACAAGTGTAAACTTTTCAATCAAAAAAGTGAAATTTTCAAAAAACCGGGTTTTTAAAAAACCGAATAACCGGAAACAAAAACTGGATATCAAAATGAAAATTAATTTCGAAATTAAAAAAAAAAAAAAACAAAAAAAACGTACAATTTTCAAAAAACCGGGTTTGTCTAAAAACCGAAAAACCGGTT